CCTCTCCCTCTCCCTCTCCCTCTCCATCTCCCTCTCTCTCTCTCTCTCTCTCTCTCTCTCTCTTTCCTCACAATATTCTCGACTGTCACAGCGTTGTAGGACTTGTTTCACGACAGGTCCAGGCGCTCCCCACTCCGCAGGCCCCAGCCCACACGGCCCAACCGCTCAAACACCCTCCGGCGGATGACCTCTGACCTCGGCGACCTGACCCCAGCCGACCGATCGCGTCCCTCTCCACGCCTCCGCCCCGCTTCCCCCACTACAGCTGCGTAGTAATTGTAGCGTGTGCAAAGGTCACGTGACATTATTTACTTCTGCGGCTTGTTCGGCTGACAAGAGATGGCACTAGTGGTCTGTGGATCAGAGGCGGGGCTAGGTTCTACGACTTCTTAGGGCACACTTTAGGGCAGAAAAGAGGTTTTTTTGGCTCACCATCCCAAAATGCTTCGAATATACAAAAACAAGTTAGATATTCGAAAATCGGAGGACCAAACGGATCGTTTGACGTATCTTGCGCGACTGACAGTTGATCGGTCTTCAAACTACTGAACAAAAACGAGGTGATTAGTAGCAAGTGCTGGTGACTGTACTTTGTGAAGTTCTTCTCTTAGGAAACTTCTCCCAACCTTTCTAGTGTTGGTCGCCGAAGACCGAAAGCGAAAACATTTTGTCAGAAGTGGGATTCGAACCCACGCCTGGAGAACCAGACTGCGACCTGAACGCAGCGCCTTAGACCGCTCGGCCATCCTGACACGAACATTGAAGGCCGAAATAGTGAAAAAGACTCGAGTACAGGCAAATAAACGCGGCTACCTTCCACTTTTGGGGCCCCACAAAAAAAAAACTAAAAAATGACGTGCTGAAAGAGGAACAACCAATACACGTACACCCACAATTTTTAAAACATGCTGACTTTTTCACTCAGAACATAATTAGATACGGGACGAGACGATCTGTATGGGACTCCTCTCTCCAATCCTCGCTCCAATCCAACAGTGGACAGCAGCTCATGTCCCCATATCCGGCCATTGAAGTCACCGGCACAAACTGACCCTGCGGTCGCCCCATGTCGCGCGCCGGGTCGAGCGCTATACAGGCGAACCCCGGCCGCTCCGCGGTTTTTTAGCATTTTGAGCGGGAAAAACTTCGGTGTGATTGGAATCATGTGTTCTCAGTGTTCTACTACTTGCCCTGCATCTGCATTGAAGTCACCAGACCTGTGAGTGAACTGATCTGGATATTATTCATTGCTTAAAATTTTTGGTACCCGTCACCCGTGCTGCTGTCGTGAAGCCACCAGAAAATTCATCGTAGAGACGCAATCATTGTCAGTTGAAGATTGATGCATTTTTGAAAGACGCATCCAACGGTGTTATTTTTATGCGTCTATCTGCTCTCGCTTGCAAGAAAATCGCCAATATCTGCAGGACTATTTCCTTTCCGACGCGGATGCTTTCAACGACTTCTCCGCCCTCTGCCAACCGTCCTCGGTTGTCATGGCGACCAACCCCTACCGGGACCGGCCGGCGCCTGAGACGCCGGTAGCCGGCTAAACGAACAATGCCGGCCGACCCTTCCCCCCTGCCCCGGCGGCCCGCTCGGCGCGGCCGCCGCGCGGGCTGGCGCGCTCGGCGTGCGAGGGGACATGGGAGCAGCGGACAGCTGACTGCTTCCGGCACTGGGGCCCCGAACGGGTCTCGCCGTGTAGAGTGCCAAACACCGGCCAGCGACCACCGACGGGACGATCACACTGCTGAATCTGCCAGACGTGCATACGACCGGGCACATCTGATGGCGGTGCGTGACCGACTAAGCAACGACACCACTCGTGAAGTAGCCGAGACTATCCGGCGCAGTCTTCCCGCGTATCTCATCCGCTGTCTTAATCGATCACGCCCCCTCAGCCCTGCGGAAGCGGCATGTGGACCCCGCCCCGCATCGAGGACTCTCCAGTCCAGCCGGCCGACCGACCCGCCCAAATTGCTGATCGGCGCCCTAAATATTCAAAGTATCAAACCCAAACTTCAAGAGCTGACCTGCGAACTCGCTCGCCGCAACTACGACGTAATGGTGCTTTCCGAGACCTGGCTACGTCCGTCTACCCCGAAACGCCTCCTGGTCATTCCGGGCTACTCGCTCAGTCGTGTGGACCGCCCAGATGGCAGCGGTTATGGCGGCGTAGCCATCATCACTAAAAACAGTTTGACGTCAATGACACTGAAGATCCCCGGCAGCGGGAGCTCCGAAAGCAAGCTGGAGTCGCAGTGGGCGCTGCTGAAGCTGGACAAGGGCCAACAGATAATCATCTGCTCCCTTTATCGGCCACCCCGACACTCTGAGGCAGCCCTGCTCGCCGACTTCACGGACCTCGAGGCCCAGCTGCAGCGGGTCCTCATCGATTACCCCAGAGTTCCGTTCGTTCTCTGCGGGGACCTCAACTGTGACCTATTGAAGGGGCCGAATTTCCGCGCGTCTCAACATCTGATCAGCTTCTTATCGAATTATTCTTTAGATCAACTAGTAACAAATCCAACTTTTACCTCCGGCTCTCTATTGGATGTATGTATTGTTAACAAACGCGAACTTGTGTGTGACACCAGCGTTAATTATTGTCACTTCAGTCCCCATAAAATCATCGACGTGATTGTCAATGTGCCGAAAGTGCGTCAAAAGCCCGCCGTTATCTCATCTCGCTCTTTTAAGCGCCTAGATCACCCTGCACTGTATCACGACTTACTCGATGTCGACTGGGATTATGTCTTCTCTGCCGAAACTGTCAGTGACAAGTGGCATGCTTTCTTGTCGTTCTTCGTACCTGTTTTTGATGCCCATGCCCCAATCAAGCGTGTGTCTATCCGTAACCCGACCGCTCCTCCCGTCTCCGCCGCCACCCGTAACCTCATGTCTCAACGTCGCGCTGCGCTTCGCCATCTAGGCCGCAACTCGAGCGAATACAGAGACCTAAACCGCTCAGTCCGGGCGGCAGTGCGTCGAGACAGGCGAATAGAGATACGGAGGGAAATTGGGGAGCGGGGCCCCAACAAAGTTTGGCAGTGCATCAGGTCAGTGGTAGCCGCGAAGAAGGACGGCCCAGACGTCCAGCCCGATCTATCTGCCGATGATTTAAATTCATTTTTTGTATCTGTCGGTCCTCGTGTCGCTGACGAGATCCGAGCCCAAAACACTCCCACCGATTTGGATGTGCGTCTCACCCGTGTCGGCGCATGCAGTTTTCAACTTCGTGAGATAACACTGGGGGAGCTCGAGCGGATTATTTTCAGCATGCGTAACTCGAGTGCCTGCGGCTCCGATAACGTGTGTGTCCGCATGCTGAAATTCGGATTCCCCGCTATTGGTGGTGTCATCCTGCATATTATCAATACCTGCTTAATCCAATCTGACATCCCCGATTCATGGAAACATTCCATAGTTCACCCTCTGTTCAAGTCTGGTAACCCTTCAGACCCCGCAAACTTCCGACCCATTTCCCTAGTTCCTGTAATCATGAAAGTAGTTGAACGCATTGTCCATCAGCAGCTCTACGCCTACCTCTCCCATAATCACCTTCTGGCATCCTCCCAGCACGGCTTCCGCCCCCGGCACTCCACGGAAACCGCGTTGCTGTCTGTCACTGAACACATCCTGGCCGCCACTGATAGGGGGGATCTGTCAATGCTATGCCTTCTCGATCTCAGTAAATGTTTCGACGTGATTGACCACGATCTTCTGATGCAAAAACTGATGTTACACGGCATTGAAATTTCCTGGTTCGCCGCCTATCTACATGGACACACTCAGAGCGTGTCTTTGAAAGATGTATCCGGACGTAGAGTGCTGTCTAGGCCTCTTTCTAATGCCATGGGTGTCTTCCAGGGCTCTGCGTTAGGGCCGCTTCTTTTCACCATTTTCTCTAACAACTTATCGCTATACGCGGGCGACGCAAAAGTGTTTCAGTATGCCGATGACACTCAAGTATTGGTTAGCGGTCCAGCTCGGGACCTCGAAGTTCTCACCTCGCGCATGGAGGACTCGCTCGCGTCTCTCAACGACTGGTTTTGCGCTAACGCCCTCAAAGTGAACGCAAGTAAAACACAGCTTATTGTATTTGGCACTCGTCAAAATCTTCGTAAATTACCAGACTTTAGAGTACCATTCCGCAACGCAGCGTTGCAACCGTGCGCACAAGTCGGGAACCTTGGCGTCACTTTTGACAGCACTATGTCATGGGACGCACACGTCTCTGAACTCTGCCGCCGGTGTACGGGACTGTTGATTGGTCTTTCCCATGCGCGCCACTGTCTCCCAGATGGCATCATTCGAACGCTCGTGACGGCACTCGTTGTATCGCGTATCCAGTACTGCCTTTCAGTTTATGGTAATGGGTCCCAAAAAAATTTCGATCGACTCCAAAAAATTCTTAACTTCGCCGCTAGAGTTATTTTCGGCCGCCGTAAATTTGACCATGTCTCCGACCTGCGAACAAAACTCGGGTGGTTGTCCCCGCGCGGTATGTCCGATTTCCACACCCTTGTCATCGCACACAAGGTCATACAGCGCCGTGAACCTGAGCAACTAGCAGCCCTGTTCGTCGCTAATAGCGCTATCCGCGAGAGACCATCCAGACAAGATCACTTCTTCCATCTTCCCCGTCCACGGCTGGAAACGGGCAAGCGGCGGTTTGGCTATCGAGCTGCAGCTCTGCTGAACAGCCTGCCACCTCACCTGTCGCAGCTGCCTCCCGCCCGCTTCGCCCGCGCTGTTAAAGCCGCAATCGTGGACGATGAATCAGCACATCGTCGCTGACCAATAGGATAGGGGTGGGTAAAAGCGATGAGGCTGTCCTGAGAGTGTTTTGTCCTAGTTTTGACGTGAGTGAATGTGCAACTGTTTTGAATGATTAGATTAGCAACCGCGGATACGGATTCTGAGCAGTAATCGCCACGCACTTTGTATGTGGATCGCTCTTAAATGTAAATACAATACAAATACAAATAGCTTACCTGGGGCTCCTCCAGCAGCGGCTGTCCCGACATCAGGTTGATGACGTCATTGGTACACTGGCCGCGGCGCAGAGCGTCTGAGAGCCAGCCGGGCGGCGGAGCTCCGTCCAGCAGGAGACGACCGTCCAACACCGCTGACGACTCGTCATCACAACCGGAGACGTCATCGCCAGACACATCAGCGTCAGCGTAGTCTTCAGAGGCGTCATCGGACACGTCCTCCATGTCTTCAGACCCGTCATCGGATAGGTCATCATCAGAGGCGGCATCCGGCTCATCACGGGTACGCTTTAGAGATTCTGCTGTTCCGTTCAGCGATAAATTCGCGAGACGGTCGACAGGCTGGCTTTCAGACTCCTCCGTAGATGGCAGCACCTGTAAAGGAATGCACGCTGTTACATCTAACCACTAACCTCGCACAACGACCGGATGATAGCTTACGATATCACTGACGACGCGTCAAGACCGTAAGCTGGCCGCAACACGTATAGTAAGCTTCAGAAATAAAGAGAAATACAGGACTCAAGACAGCTCAGGCTACATGCCGTTCCGCCTCGGTTCAGAGAGCGAGCGAGCCCCGAGGAATTCCTCGACGCCCTCGGCCGACGGAAGAGCCACCCCGCCAATGGCCGGTTCAGTTTTAGAGCGTGTTGGCAGCATACCAGGGCGCGTGCCCGTAATGAGGTGTCACCGTATCACTAACAAATGAATCGTAAAAGTGGCCGGCCATCCAATCCCAGAGGGGAAATGAGGTCTCCGCTGGCTCAGGGAGGTCGGGTGCGAGTTTGGCTGCGGGCAGGGGCGGTGAATTTAGCACCACGCAGGCGATAGGGATATCAGGGAGTGTATCGTCAGACCAGGCAAGATCGGGGAGACTCCGGCTGTAACTGGCCGTCGTTAATTATGCAGATAATACAGTTTACGAAAAGATAATACGGACTGGTTGGTACTGACGTCTGATTCTGCTTCGATTCGACTATTATGAACATGGACAACAAATAGTTCGTAGCTAGGGGTAAAGTCGAATTAATTCCCTCTCCCTATCTGAAAAACGTTGTTGGCGTGCTACAGGAGTATTTGCAAATTAATTCTCTTAAACGAAAATTTCAACAAATAAAAACAGCCATCCAATAACCTCTCAAATATCTCCCCCCCCCCCCCCACATTACACCCCTCCATCCGGCCTCCTCACCTCACTGTCTTGTTCCGCCGTCGTCCCGACCAGTCCCGGCGGCAGTCGGAGCTGCCCGATCAGGTCCTCCGACCAGCCACACTGGCTGTAGTTGTCCATCAGTCTCCGCACCAGCTGGCCCACAATGGCACGCTCCTCCTTACGGATCAGACTAAGCACCTGGCAGAGCGCGACGTTAGTTTAACACATCAGCGGGATACACATTGAACGGTGAGTAGAAGAATGTATCAGACGGGTCTCAGTTCTCACTGATCGGCTGGCCCTTACCACTGCAAAGATGGAGTGACTTCCCGGGTCTGCCAAATAAGTTTGACATAATTCCCATTTCAGATCCACGAGAACTGTCCAAAGACTCGCAAGTTGTAATCCTTGGACAAACCCCTTAATAGACACATACCACCGATCCCACCCGGCACCCTACGCCTTGACATGCACAGCCCCCTGCACACTGCGTAGTAGGTATTCTTTTTTTTTTCGACAAAACCGAGAATAATTCGAATACTATGCTACCAGTCATTCTGAAATCGTAATAGCAAGACGCGCGAGGCTCCACACCTTAGATTTGGCTCATCATGGTATACATTTTCCATCCAGTTTGGCAACAATACACAAAAGTTTATATTTGATTGGCCCTCAAAACAAACTTTTTATTTTTGTTACCACACTTCGCGTATACTTCGTTCAGTGATAGACCCAATCGAAGGAGTGGACCATGGCGCATCTATGTGCAATGATTTCCGACCATAGCCTTTGAGTTATTCTCGGTTTTGGCAAAAAAACCTACCACACAGTGTGCAGAGGGCTGTACCCGATCCTTCCCCCTAACCCCATCGCCCTCTGACCTCCTGTAGTGCCTCCTCCGGATCGGTGTGCCGCCGGAGCCAGGCCAGCGCGCCGCTGATCCGCAGAGCCGAGGGCCGGCCGCGGCGCTGGCCGTAAGGCCGCGGCACGTGCCGGAAGAAGGCCCGCAGCGATCCGGGACTGATGTAGTCGTTACCGAGCAGACAGGCCAGCAGCGGCATCAGCTGAGGTCGCAGACCGTACTCCTCCATAAAACTGGTGGGAAAGAGGGAGGGGAGAGACGTTATGGGCTGATCAGGAGAACGTGGTATATGCGTGAAAGATAAAAAATTAAAGATGCCTTTTAGAATCTAGCTGTGAATCGATATTACGATGTCTTCATTTCTGCGATTTACCGGTGAATCACGATTATTTCGATCCAAATCATGGAACATTTTGGGAATTCTGGCATAAAACAACTAAAACATGAAATAGCACGGCTTGAGATATTACAATTTCCAACCTGAATAGTGTCAAGCAGCAGTGCTATAAGTAATAAGTCCCGATTACCGGTCATGTCTGAAGAGCGTGCAGTCCATGTACGGCTGTCCGTCCAGTCCGCACTCCGGTTCGGCCGACAGGGACCCCAGCGGCACGCAGCGCACACCGAACGCGAAAAAGTCCGTGTCGTCGCTGACCACACTGCAGCTGAGGTGCCGGGCCAGCGCGGCAACCGGCTCGTCGGCCTCGAACGGGCAGACGGCGTACGGGAGACCGAGGCGATTCAGCACCTGTGGTGGATGATTGGGCAAGACACAATGAGACATTGTATGAAATGAGATGTAAAAACAGGTGCACTATGACAAGCCATGCTAGTTTGATGTGTGCATGATAACATGCAAGATAACATGCAAGTCTCGTTAAGTGTAACATAAAACAACTTTGGCTAATTGCTTACTTCCACAAAGGCTGCCTTGGTGAGCAGAGGGAGGCATGTGTGCCTGTGTTGTGATGTTGGTGCCAGTTTCCTGGTGACCTCCAGCTTGCTTGTCAACCTGCTGAAAGCTGTCTTGAGTTTCCGATTGCTTGGGTCTGATCCGCCATCAAGAAGTACTATAGGGGTTATACCACATCTGAAACATGGACAATTAAAACTAAAAGATGTACAGCATGCAATCAAAAGTTCACTCGACATAAAAGCAGTAACTTAACAGCACAGCCCTTCCCGCTGAATCTAAAAAATGTAGATCGGGACTCAGGTCTTTTCAATTATCATCAAAATTATTATATTCCTTAACCAAAAGGTTTGGACATTAATTATCAATAAGAACTGCCTATTCAGGTTGTATACCAGCTTTTGCTGAAGTGATTGCATTGTACCTATACTAGGATAACAGTGCACAACTTCAGTGACTTTGACTCACACTGGCTCACCTTTGCAGGTTGTTGAAGAAAGCCTCTACCTTCCATGCATACTTTTGGTAGTCCCCACCAAAAGCAAAGTTCAGACCCTTTGAATTAGCATTGATATAGTGAATCACATTGTCCCCATCAAGTATAACCACCTCATTACACAGCTTGTGCCTGACCAAAAACTTGTCGCGCCGTTCCTTGATGAACGTTGATAAGCCCCGCACGCCCATTTTTCGGGAGCAAGATCAAACCCCACGAATCATTGATGAAATATCATGTCTTGAAACTATGGGATGTTGCTGGATAAAGCAAAACGAAAGCCAAAATATAAAATTAAAAATTTAGCGCCAGCTATTCACATCGCCGCGCCCGCCCACGTGTTTTTGTTTACATCAAGGTGGCGCACAGTGTTGCCAGGCCGAGTGATGTCAATACCTCCAGAAAATGTTGTAAAAACCTCTAGAAACCTCTGTTCCATTGCCGCTGATTATGAAGTATATACCTCCATACCTACCTCCGTATCACAAACCGTGGCGCTGTTTCAAAGCACGCTGCCATCCGCTGCCAGCGCGTGATGACATTATCAAGCCCATTGCTCCAACACTACCAAAGGGTCTGTTCCAGTTGCACTTCCTAACACCTCTAAACTCCTCCAAGATTGCTTCCCTGTTCCAGTGTCAGCTCTAGCCCCTACAAATCAAAGGAGGGCCCTGCTCCAACCTCCTCTATCTTGCCCTTGGAGGAGTTTAGAGGTGTTAGGAAGTGCGACTGGAACAGACCCAACCCAAAGTGTGACGTCAGCGCGCTGGCAGCAGCTGGCAGCGGGCTTTGAAACATCCGGTTGTATCCCCAATCAAGATAATTCACTCATCCTTCGCATGCCTTCGCATTTGTCCACATAACTTGGTGGACTTGGTGCCCACCGTGGGCACCAGGTTAACATAGCCTTGGTGCCCACGTTTACATAGCCTTGGTGCCCACGGTGCCCACGGTATATCGAAAACTTTTAGCTGCAGCCGGCGGCCAGAGCCTCAATAGTGAACAAGCCAAAAGTAAGGTTTTTCGTTTCCATCAATCTAAAAAAAAGTGTGTTTAAGCATGCAATACAATAACATGAAATTAAGTAACTAAATAGTTCTCAAGAGACCTTGATGCTAATTGTCTTTTCTCGAATTTTCAGATTACCTCTAGAAAACCCTCTAGAATCCGGCATTTTTCAAAAACCTCCAGGAGCCCCGAAACGCTCCCCTAAAACCTCTAGATCTGGAGGTTTACCTCTAGACCTGGCAACACTGGTGGCGCATAAGAAAAGGTTCTAAAGAGCCACGCGTTTACAATGACGCCATCGAGCAAATAAACTCTGCACCAATGAGCGCACACGCACTGAAAGTCATTGAAAACTTTTAGAAACCGTACAGTTCGTCAGCTCGCCTCGTAGGAGCATATCTTGGCTTATTTCATTTTGATTTTGTCTGAATGGTCTCTCCCGCTCACTCGAGTGTAGTCTCGTCCGTACGCCAAGACGTCAGTCACAAAAATACGATTCGTTATGAGACTATATTGCACAAGCTTCGTAAAGACGGTCCAAGCAAAAAATATAACCACGTGAACGTTTTCTCCACATAACACAGTGTGTTTCTCCCCTAGTTACCCAGACTACACGCCAGTTACCTGTTCATGCCAGCTCGGAATACATGCCCGTCAAATTAACCGCTCAGTCATTACACAAATCTTCGACATACCCGTTCAAACTAGCGACTGTTACAGCTCACATCCACTAGCGCTATAGCTCACTTCACATACAGCAATTTGCACATCCTTAGGCGCTCTTTTGCACATCAATCAACCCTTTCGCACTCCCGACAAGACAAGCGTCTCCTTTACAGCTATGTTCCACCGTGGAAACATTTATCATTCGCCAATAGTGCCTGCACATGACAGAGAGAAAGACGGTGCACCCCAACCAGCGACAGCGAGCCCGAGCCCTGGGCTAAGACTTAACCGGGCGATCAGACATGTGAGCCCGATCGTGTAGCGTGTGGTCAGTCGCCTGCCAGAGACGAACCTTTACACTCGGAGCAGGTGAACGACTATCGGTCGCTGTACCGTCGCTGTAACGATAAGCGGTGCTCATCACCTCGCGCGTTGCCTGCACGGAGGCCGGCGAGTTTCACGCCAGCGTACGCACGGACAGAGACCGGTACGGCGGGTAAACGAAACCAGCTCTGCGTAACAGAAATGACACAAAACAGAACTTCTGGCAACAAGCTTTACGCTGTCAGTGCATAAAGGTCACAACATCGACTCGCTAATAACTGAGCTTAGTAATCAGCTGAAGTATCACCATAATTGCTTTATGTGGTTACTTTGAGAGGTTGGCATAAGCCTGCAGCTCACATTACCAGGAACATAACCAATCGACGGCGAACAAAGCCGAAATGGACGCAAAACGGGAGGCTTGACAGCGTTACCCGATCAGCAAATGTTGTCGCTAGACTATAGGCGCTAGAGTAGTCAAGCGGCGCTATTTATGACGGCGCTAGACTAGACCCGGGCGTCAGAAGAGTGTCATGTAACTTAGGAAGTGGTGTGAAACCATTGCACCATAACGTATCCAGTAAGTTAAGCGTGAGCGGTGTAACAAAGCGACCTTAGAGAGTAGCGCATGCTGACCAGCTGAGGAAAAGCAGAACGCCATTCGCTCACCGATCTCGATTATAACACATAATCCGGACTATAAAATAACAAAACAGGCTGTCTTAGCCTAGTGACCACATCTACCTATGCTAAATACCCACGTGAGTCTCCTTATTCTAGGTCACAACCATTTGACAGAAGCTGAACGCTTCAAATAAATCCAACCTTAAGAACTTAACAGTATCACTAGTTTCTAAATATGGAAAAGTTGCTGAACGCAATCATCACAAAGTATCTCTTCAATAAAGACAGGGGATGGATAACCACAGCGTCTTGTGCCGGTTACCCCATTTTAGCACACCGTTAGTGACAGTGTACGCCAACTGCCCCTCACCGTTGTGTTGTGTGTGCCCCCAGTAAGCCCAAATCAGGGACAGCTAGCCCGCCACCGCTGCAGCGGAAAGGCACCCATAACACAAGCGGAACAGCACGACAAAGTGTCGACTCTAAACACAGTACACCGCGGCTGGGTTGGCCACAGTACGCAAAGCGTCGACTCTAGTACAGCATTTACACAGGCTGGGTCAACCGCAGCACACAAAATGTCCACTCTAGATAGAGCAAACGGTGGTCAGTTCACAAAGAATCCGCTCTCCATGAAGCCGGCTCACACAGATTCTCTGCACAGCGACTGGGAATATCCGGCCTCCTCTCACGAGCCGCGACATCTATAGGTACGGGTATGGACACGGCGATCAGTTCAGCAATCAGCTCAGAAATCAGCTCAGCTAGGAGCGCAGTTGTGATCAGCAATCAGCTCACCTAGCTCAGCGTCAGCTTGGCCCTGAGCGAAGCTATGAGCTCAAAATTAAGGTCAGCGATAAACCTCGCAAAAAGCAGAGTTATACCCACTCCCAGCAATACCCCCAGCTTCAAGCTCGACTAAGCCAAGGTATCAGCCCAATGAGCTATTCAGTCTGCTTTCAGTTTCGCAACGAGCTCAGTATGGAACCTACCTTTCGCTTTGCTTTGAGCGGGAGCTCTGGTATGAGCCCGAAACCAGTCCGAGCCATATAGGTACCGCCCGCTCCGTCTCACTTTCTGAGGAAAGTGCCGTTTAGGTGACCAACATGATCATAACCAACTCACAAGACTGCAAGCTCCCTCTTCCGTCTCTGCGCTTGGAATCCATGGGACCCGCTCAGAACAAAATGAGCTACAACGGTAGTGCCCGAGCTTCTTCTCCGACCAGAAACGTCGGTAAGAAGCTTCCTCCAACCGCAGGCAAGCCGCATCAGCAAATCAACAGCTCTGTAGGCGCGACAACGTCCGAAAAACAGCCAGCACCACCGCGACTTGCGCCGTGAGGCGAGCAAGAGCGCCTGCGGCGGTCCTTCCAGGGGACCTGGGTCAGTGCGCATGCGCAGAAAGCGGGTATCACAGACTGACGTGCCAGCCGGCGCTGGCGTCGGCTTGGTGCAGACACTGAGCACTCCGTGCGGCGGGACGGGGAGTGACGACCGGAATAAACGTGTGACAAAAGTGACGACACGGTGTGTAACGAAGGTGAAGTCACCGCGTGTGTGACGTCCCAGGTGTGTAACACTGTAACCTGACAGCCATCGCCCCGCGGTCTGTCGTCTGTGTCTTGTGGAACCGCCGAGGGAACTACAACGGCCGGTAAACGCCATAAAAAGAGAGCAAGTTTCATAATGGTGGGTTGTTTCCGATCACAGTTTGTTAAATGCCAGTGACTGAAAAGACTTCAAGCATGGCTCGTTGGAGATATCAATGTCTTAAATGCCAGGGATTGAGTGGGAGTTTTGCATCATAGTAGACCAACCTCGGAGTTAGTCTAGTCAGCCTGAAGCGACGAAAACCGTCGAACCAAACCTATCCAAAGACCCCTCTGCACATATCAGAGAACCACCCTCCTCACCACTCCTCCCACTCCTAAAACTCAGTCAGGAGGCGGGCCGGCGTCCTCTGGCGGCGGTGACGTCAGTTGCTGCGCCCCCTCGGCCACAGGAGTGGAGTCCAGCTCCGTCCCGGACGGGTCACACTGACAGCTGGTACACATCACCACCGGGGCGTACAGAATCAGCACCGGAGCGGCCACGACGAACACCAGACCGACGCCGATCAGTGCGCCCACCAGCTGTAACAGAGAGTGGGGGGAGGGGTGCGTCAGATGAGGAGAGATATGGGGGAACATGGAGTGAAACGGGGTGGGCTATGTAGGTGGGGCAGGCGATACGGGGAGACACAGGGTAAGAATGGGCGATATTCAGGGAGAGTGAGATAGGATGTGAGATGGAGGCGAGATTTATAGTCAGACGGAGTGAGCTGAGGGTGAGACAGCCGGTGAGATAGTAGGCGATGCTGACGGTCAGACGACTCGGTGGTCAGAAGATAAGAGTCGATAGTTAGGTGTAAGGAGCGAGAAGGGACCGCAGCTTGTCATGCTTGGTGTGGATGGTTACTGATGGAACCTAGCAGAGGTGAAGATTAACTGTGATTAAAAAAGAACTCCAGATCAATGACCAGAGGGAAGTTGTCTGAAAACAACTGAAAAAGAAACGTTTAAATGCATTGATGATATAAACACAAGGATAAATACAGGAAAAGACAATGCAGATAAATGAGAGACAAGAGATATACACAAAACGTTCCGCAATCAAGTGGTCTGTGGGCTATCACAGTACCGTTATCAACGGATTGACAGATATCGGTAAACCACCAGGCATTTGACAGCTGACTGAGCTCCCTTCATTTCAGCATGCAGCCTCATAAAACATTCTTTGATTTCATCATGCGCACCACGTCTTCGTCACCAGAGATTAGCGGCTATCCACAACATAATCCTTAGAATGCCGGGCGGTTCCAGGTCCAAGCATCATACAGCCGAGCAGCAGGTCACATTATGACAAAGATTCACGGACCTAACAAAAAAGCATCTAATTCTAAACAATACTACCAGAGAGTAGAAGCAAACTTTAAGCACTGAGAAAATCGGTGGACACCATCAACGGCGCAAGATAATATGCCGGACGGAGCCAGCCAAGGCAAACATTAGTGACATTTATCCGCGACATACCTGGACTCTGTGCCAGATGAGAGAGCCTCGGGAATGTCCCAGCAGCCGGCGACACGGACCGCTGTCGTAGTGACGCAGGAACAGGTCACCCTGGCGGAACGGCGGCGAGCGAGGGTCAGGTGGGTGAGATCGAGTCACAACGAATTGCAGATCATAACTTATAGGGTCAGAAGAATAAAAGAAAAGTCTAAATAAATAAGCGATTTGACAAGACATTACAGCAGACGTTTATGAACGTCGCTGACTGACGAGGCTAAAAATATGTCCTTGGTGCTCCTAGCCTAACAATTTTAAAGAACAAGGCTATGCATATCGGACTGAGTCCCATAACTGTCCTCCGATTCCCCTCACATCGATAGAGGACGTGCCTACGCGACATCTTGCCAACCATCACATCACAACTAACAAGTCGTCGCTTTTAGCAACCACACCCTGAAACTTCACCACTATTCAGTCTCAGGGCATGTCCCATCATCTCGCTCCCAACCTCCCCTCCCTCTCCCCACTCTCCCCGTCCGAGTCAACTCACATCGAGTGAGGCGAGGCAGTACCAGCAGAACGTATGTCGGCACCTGCGACACATCATCTGTGCACAGCCGTCCTCGCGCTCAATCGGTACTCCGCAGTGGGGGCACTTCTTCACCGTGCCCCCCAGCATCTGACTGCCGCCCAGCAGCCAGCGTTCGGGGCGACACTCGTGAGGTGTATCCTCCGGCTCTGGGCGCGGCCGGCGGCAGACCGCACAGAAGCGGCCGCCGCAGCCGGTACAGTTGAACGGCTGACCGGAGGCGGGGAGGACACAGGCGGTGTCACAGCCGGGACGCGGGCACCAGGCGCGGTCCGGGTCCTGTTCCACCTCTGCCGGGGGGGGGGGGGGGAAGGTCACAGATCTGGGAGCTCTGCTGGGGCGCGGAAGGAAGAGGTCAGAGGTCTGCGAGAGGTACCTAGTAAAATGGAGAGAGCAGGGGAGGAAGATGATAAAGGGAGACAAGGGAGATAGTTTCTGTATGGTTCGCTCCTGTACTGTTTCTGTAACTAGTATGAGAGAGGCCGAATGGACCCACAGAGGGCTGCGGGAGATTTAAATCAAGACTGAAGTACCTATCTGCCTGCATAATACGGAATCAGCGTTAGAGCGATTCAGCTCTCACTTCACATAAGTAGATTCATATTATTCATCTTTAACTCGATTCACCAGAAAAAAATGATAGGGTAAGTTAAAAGTGGGATCGCGGAAGTGAGTCGCGTCAGGGGATCTCCAGTGAGGACCAGAGCCCGCTCAACAAAGTAGAAGTGATTGCGGAAGAAACGGTAGCAACTAATAGAACCTGACGCACTTACCGATTTCCTAGACACTGTGCTAAGAAATCGAACAAGTATCCAGAAGTTAGCCAATATAAGGAACTTGTATGGAACTCATTTCCTTACTTGAATAACTCCATCCGTAGTTCCAGGATATGAGACAGATCATCATAGCATCGGATCATTCAAACAATTCAACGCTACACAGTAAAAACACTGAACACTGGCAAGACCGGGGTCCCATCCACCGACTTGCCACCCACACTCCCCGGTCTCAGTCGTACCTCTGATGTAGGCCAGTCGCTGGTAGCGCCGGAACGTGGCGTCATCAGTGAGCCGCCTGACCTCGTCCGGGGTCAGACTGCCGCCAGCGGCACAGCGAGGCTCCGGGCACGGCACCAGCGTCTCGCCGTTATCCACGCACACGGAGACATATGTGGACATGCACTGTGGATAGAGGGGGAGGCGAGTCAGAGCAATGGCTAGGCGGCATCATATCAGGTGGACACAGCGGGCACAAGGACTGATTAGACATTAGCTCAGCCCAAATGTTGATACAATGATTGCGTACCAGAAACGTAGCAGTGATCATCTCCAGAGAATGTTGTGTTTTAAAACTGGCTAACCCTATTTTTTCGTTATTAATAATATGCTATAAACATGCGCTTAACTTGTAACTTGTACTGAAAGGCCTCCAAATGGTGCAACTCCATCCTAAGCTTGGTAAACAAACGTTTCCATTGAAATAACACTATGTATAACAGGGGGACCGTTTACCGCCAGTTACTCGACATCTCGCCTCATAAGCTTCTCCACAGGTCCTCCACCACCACTCTCCCTATCCCTCCCTCCCTCTCTCCACCATCCTACCTCTCGACAGAAGCGGCAGCCGCAGGCGGCCAGTCTGTGCAGCTCTGCGGCGGGCACCTCTGCCAGGCACACCCCACAGGTGGCTCGCCGCTCTGCCGGCAGCCGCAGGGCCTGCTGACTGCCGCAGCGGCTGCAGCCGGACGCCTGACGCGCCTGCTCCAGGCTGCTCAGGGTGACGGCATGCCGCAGAGCGGGCCTCACCACCGTCACAGAGGCGGACAGGGAGGCCCGGGACGGAGCCAGAGAGCGCAGCAGTCGGCCCGACATGCCGCCCGAGCGGCGCTCCTGAGGGCACCGGGAGGACGGTTAGAGAGAAACTCAGAGGGTAAGAGGGAGACGCCGAGAAATCAATGAAGAACTCAGAGAGAAAGAGGGAGAGTAGGAGGGGTCAATGAGGTACTCAGAGAGGTAACAGGGGGAACTCAGAAGAAGGGAGACTCGGAGGGGTCAATGAGGTACTCAGGGAGGTAACAGGGGAACTCAGAGGGTAGGAGGGAGACGCTGAGAAATTAATGAGGAACTCAGATAGGTAACAGGGGAACTCAGAGAGAAAAAGGGAGACTCGGAGGGTCAATGAGGAGCTCATAGAGGTAAGAGGGGAACTCAGAGAGAAGGAGGGAGAGTTAGAGGGGTCAGTGAGGTACTCAGAGAGGTAACAGGGGAACTCAGAGAGAAGGAGGGAGACTCGGAGGGGTCAATGAGGTACTCAGGGAGGTCAGAGGGGAACTCAGAGAGAACGAGGGAGACTCGGAGGGGTCAATGAGGAGCTCATAGAGGTAAGAGGGGAACTCAGAGAGAAGGAGGGAGAGTTAGAGGGGTCAATGAGGTACTCAGAGAGGTAACAGGGGAACTCAGAGAGAAGGAGGGAGACTCTGAGGGGTCAATGAGGTACTCAGAGTCTCAGAGAGGTAACAGGGGAACTCAGAGGGTAGGAGGGAGACGCTGAGAAATCAATGAGGAGCTCAGATAGGTATCAGAGGAACTCAGAGAGAAGAAGGGAGACTCGGAGGGTCAATGAGGTACTCAGGGAGGTAATAGGGGAACTCAGAGGGAAGAAGGGAGACTCGGAGGGGTCAATGAGGGGCTCAGGGAGGTAATAGGGGAACTCAGAGGGAAGAAGGGAGACTCGGAGGGGTCAATGAGGTACTCAGAGAGGTAACAGGGGAACTCAGAGAGAAGGAGGGAGAGTAGGAGGGGTCAATGAGGAACTCAGGGAGGTCAGAGGGGAACTCAAAGAGAAGAAGGGAGACTCTGAGGGGTCAATGAGGTACTCAGAGAGGTAACAGGGGAACTCAGAGGGTAGGAGGGAGACGCTGAGAAATTAATGAGGAGCTCAGATAGGTAAGAGGGGAACTCAGAGAGAAAAAGGGAGACTCGGAAGGGTCAATGAGGCACTCAGGGAGGGCAGAGGGGAACTCAGAGAGAAAGAGGGAGACTCGGAGGGGTCAATGAGGAGCTCAGATAGGTAACAGGGGAACTCAGAGAGAAGGAGCGAGAGTTAGAGGGGTCAGTGAGGTACTCAGAGAGGTAACAGGGGAACTCAGAGAGAAGGAGGGAGACTCTGAGGGGTCAATGAGGAGCTCAGATAGGTAACAGGGGAACTCAGAGAGAAGGAGGGAGAGTAGGAGGGGTCAATGAGGAACTCAGGGAGGTCAGAGGGGAACTCAGAGAGAAGAAGGGAGACTCGGAGGGGTCAATGAGGTACTCAGGGAGGTAATAGGGGAACTCAGAGGGAAGAAGGGAGACTCGGAGGGGTCAATGAGGAGCTCAGATAGGTAACAGGGGAACTCAGAGAGAAGGAGCGAGAGTTAGAGGGGTCAGTGAGGTACTCAGAGAGGTAACAGGGGAACTCAGAGAGAAGGAGGGAGACTCTGAGGGGTCAATGAGGAGCTCAGATAGGTAACAGGGGAACTCAGAGAGAAGGAGGGAGAGTAGGAGGGGTCAATGAGGAACTCAGGGAGGTCAGGGGGGAACTCAGAGAGAAGAAGGGAGACTCGGAGGGGTCAATGAGGTACCCAGGGAGATCAGAGGGGAGCTCAGAGGATCGAAGCTCGGAATCCGTACAGTGGGAGTTACCGAGGCTAGAAAACCACGATAGAGATAAGACGCGCTTTTAAGAGTATACACTGTACAGTGGGCAAGAACAAGCAGAAGGCGGCCAAAGGCGATGAAATTTAGTAATAATGAGCATCGGAATTCCGGACTCTTGCAGAATACTATTTTCTGTGAATAGCTGGTTGGCGATGTAGGGGAGAGCGGGGCCAGTTGAACCACTTTTTATATATTGACATGCACAGCGAGATCCAGTTGTCATATCGAAAAATGCACAATGCCATGAAATAATATGCTCTTTTGGCTTTATTTTAAGATATGTAAAATTATGTTTCAAACATATTTTGCTGCCAAACGCATGCTTATAAAACAGCTCTACGCCCGTTTCAAATGACCCCGATGCGAGGGTCAATTGAACCAGCCCATGGGGTCAATTGCACCTATCCTTAACAATGGGATGTTTTCCTCTTTAAGGCCACTTTCTTATGGAGATATTTTGTCCGGTTTACTTTTCCAAATGCTACATTCAATAGGTCGTTGGAAAGCTAAAAGTGTTAAGTTCCTCATAATAGGTGACATAAAGTACATAGACTACATAGTCTATTTTACCATATGGTAAAATGGGCGGATGAGAGAAATGAGAAATATCTCAGGCTATAGTGTGCTTTCAAGCAAAAGGCTGGAGAAAAAGGGGTCAAAAATTGAGCTCTATTAAACTGCTATTTCAGTTTAAAAGCTCATTTCAAAGGTGGACTATTTCCTTTAATGTTTACAGCCCCTGAACAATAACCATTGCAAAGGTCACCGGGGTCCATTGAAACGGCCTGTGGCCCTGTTTCAACTGACCCTCAGAGAAGAGTTTCAATTGACCCCATCCGCTCCCGCCATCTCGTACGCGCCGTAAAGCACATGTCAAACGAGCTGGAGGGACGGCATCATGCTGAATGAAGGGCCAAATAAGGTGTTATTCCGGAATCCGGAGCCAGGAGTTCTTCTTTCAGCAAACAAAGGTATATGAGGTATCACAAAATATTCATAAAAACGATTTCTGCAAAACGCCCCTCAAAAACACAAAAACAAGTGTCAAATCAAAATTACCGTCCGTTTGCCGCCCAAACGCCGTTGTCAAAGGAAGTGGTCGAGCGCGGATGCGCAGTGGTATCGGCAACGCCATATGTTGCATATTGTTGAAAATAAAGCCATGTTTCATCTGACCCCGTGTTTCAACTGGCCCCGCTCTCCCCTAACCGAAGGCTTTTGTTCAATAGTTAAAAACAACTCTCGGTTCCCTGACAATTTAGCAAAACAAGCCCCCATGAGTACAGTCTGTAAGTCGCATTCACAGTCCGTATCTATTTCAAGAACACATCAACACTCTTGTAATCCAATTACGGCAATTAACAGGCATTGCATCATCTGACTGCACAAGTAGTCTCCGCATTCCGGCCGAAAGTTGAAACCCGTTGGGAGTCCGAATTGCGTGATAAAATACGAATCGACGACAGAAGCTGATAGGTATATGGAACAATTATATGTAGACCAGAGGCAGGTATCACGCAGCACGCACACACTACAAAGGTATAGAAAATGGGCGTTGTCAGTCGCAGGAAAAATAAGCTATCAGGGGCAGTAACACTTCAGTTCTGTAAGTAATCAGCTAGGATCGAAATGTGGTGTTTACAGACTAGCTACATGGAACCTGGAGGCCACACATGTATAAATATTGATCAGCAAAGCCAAAGGTCATTTTTGGAATGGCGTATTAAATCTGTCTAGACAAACACCAGAGGCCAGTTGGAATACAAAATTTTAGAAACGGTCGCTCCCCTTTCATGGAAGCAAGAAGCCACCATTGCAACTAACAAATTTCAATATCAATAAGTGTTTTTAGATGCTGAGTTCTTAGGATACTGCAAGTTGGGTCTCATTATCCCAATGTAAAACACAACATAAAATATAATGAAAAAATACCTTCTAACAAGCCTGAGGCATAAGGCGTTGAAAATTGGACGCCCCAGTTAGCGGGTACGGCTGCACGTGTACGTGCACGTGCACAGACACGGGAAAGACGGTACCCAGAGTAGGTGTTGGCAGGATGGGCAATTCTCACGTGCCCCTCACGTGTTTTAAAGTAAATATTGACGCCGACAGATATCTGACAAGGTAGCACGGGCGGTTCACATTCCAGTTGGGCCGGCATCACCAATGAATTCGCCATGCACCGTGCTCGTGGGCATTGGGCAATCCGATGCGCAGTTGGCGGTCGGCGGACCTTGTGACTCATCGATGCACTACCGGTCTCCGTCAATGCATTGTTTGTCCAATGTCCATGGCCCATGCGTGCTGACAAAGACACTCTTACCCAGGTATTGCAATTCTGACCATCAAATCATTAAATTGACAACGAAAAGTAAACAACAGTCATAACTGCAAGCCTATTTCATTATCCGACCATTTCTATGCAACTAACGTCCAACATCCCCTAAACCCTCTCCAGCACCCCGTTACTACCCCCTTCGGAACCCACCTGGAGCGTCACAGCAGTGTCGCACTTTTTCAGCCGGCCCTGCGGGACCGGTCCACTGGAACCACCGGCCGACGGGGAGGAGGGGGCGGCAGAGAGCGGCGCCGGCGCCGTCGCTGCGTCGATCACCGGCGTCGGCATGTCGACGGGCTCGACGGAGGCCGTCGGCAGCGACGCCAGCAGCGAGTGTCGCACGGGCATGGCCGGTCCGGCCGGCGCGCTGCCCGGACGGGATCGGACTGCCGCCTCAGAGGTCTGCTGGAGCAGGGCGGACCGCGCGCCGCCAGAGCCCAGGGCGGGGGCGGGGGCGGGGCTGGAGATGGCCGAACACGTCCTCAAACTGTAAATGTGGGCGGGCCGGGGGGGGGGGGGGCAGGTTGCCGCTCAGCCCGTCGATGAGAGCGCATGAGCGCATGAAAAGCGAGGGGCTAGTGACTGTACATACGTAGTGATCATGATTTGAATCGACCGTGGCTACAAGCTTACGAGTTACGACCGAAGGTATGTGCTTGTGGTAAAATTTTCGTGACGACGCATGTATTGAAATCGATGTAGTGATTAAATACATTCTTATCCCCAGCTATATACTGATGCTTCCATCCATAAGCTCCTTCGATTATAACCAATCGACATGAGTGGAATCAACCTACCGTTTCGTGAATCATGCATCAGCTCATATGTTATTGATGTAGGCATTGAGTAGCACACGTGTTACACCCTCCCGATTGCACCCCAATGGCGTAAAGTTCACCAGTAAAACCGGTACCAGACGTACACGGGAAGGAGGGGTACCGGTACCCACCGGCTGTGGTACACGGAGATAATGCCCGCGAGTCGAGTTTCGACAGCGCAGTAGCCACAATGCACTCGTGTCGTAGGTGACACATGCGAATGTTCACAGACAATGCACATTGCGCAGCTGAGATATGAACTACGGCGAAATACTGGCCACGTTGTATCGAGAAACGATATGCGTTTTGTAGAATGCAAAATTAGCACAATGAAACTACGATACCACAACATGGAATTGGACAATTTATTCTGGATAACACAAAATGTGCAGCTTCCTCGCCTGTTCCGATGAACTGCGCACCATAGTTCTCAATCACAATCACAACCACTTAATTAGGGGCCTAAGCCAACTACACTATGGTGGGGGTAGGTGTAGGGCGTTTAACGACATCCGATTATCTATCAAGCCTAGGAAGATAGAATAGAATGACACAAATGAAAAAAAAAAACGCCCAACAGCTTCGGGATATCTGACATCTGTGCTCACTGGTTTCCCTACATTTTTGGGGATTTTTTTCCAAATGCTGAAATCTCTGAACTAGCATTTCCTTATGCTTGCAAGGCACCCACGCCATTCCACGCAAGGGGTACATGCAGAATTCCTCCATGTACCTACCACAGCCGCTGGGTACCGGTATCCTTCCAGTCCGTGTACCGCTGGTAGATAGCTGGTTTTAACTCACTGTGTCCAAATTTCCTGAATTGTTTATTCAATTAATAATTTAAATGGTCATACATATGAGAAACTGAATAAAACAGCCAATGAGCAAGTTAATCTATCGAGCAGCCCTTCCAGCCTGAGCACTGATGTCTATTGTGGTGATACGGGCCCGCCCACGTGTTCGTCCCGGTCCGGTCGCGGTCACCGGCCGGTCGGCCGCCGCCGCGCCCCGGGTCAGGCCGCGGGCGGTCGGCAGCGTGGTTGATGTCGGGTGTTTTCGTCTGTTCCGCCAGCCAGTCGGTTTTGGGCGGCGGAACTGGGTGTGTCTCTTGTAGTGGTCAAGTCTTGTACAATATAGTCACGTCAAGAGAACTGGAGTGTCACGACGGAGGACGTCAGAGCGGCGAGAGCTGAGGATACAACATTTATAAATATCAATAAGCAGCCTGCTGCATCAGATAGCCCCTTCAATTATGAATTCAACTACCTTTGAATTTTAACACATTGGAGTGACCATCAAGGCACATGCGAAATCATAGGTGTAAAAACTGCTCAGCTAACAATAACTGTAATGACAAAGCCATTTATACTGAAGCTTAGTACATAGGTGAGTACCCACTGGCCACTGGGCAGCCTACATTTCCATTTAGTTATTTTGACAGAGATGCTACTGCATGTGCACAAGTACCTTCTGCATCTCAAGGTTTCTGCATTTCAAGAATGGCTGGAATGATTGCACTAAAATTTAGCAGGTGCACCAACACTGTTTTTAAAAATATTTTTGGTGCCCGACCCCCACTTTTGTCATTAGTAGCACACACTCATACTGGGTTAGTACACTACACACAGCAATGGTACCAAGTGTTTTCCACACATGCCAAGCGGAACAGCCAGAGCCTTGACCGCACGCTTCCTGTCATGCCTGACAGTGACACCCCAGATGGCACTGCACTGGTGCGCACGCTGGGGCTATCCCGATTTCTCGGGGCCGGCAGGTCAGAGGGCTGCTCTATGAGATGAAGTAAGGCTGTGTCCTCGGGACATGTCACCAGACCAAAGGATCTGCTTGAAGGCAGATCAGGCCCATGTACTTACAGCCAAGGCTGGTGGTGCTGGCTGGCACAGCGGAAATCCCCACGACCGAGCGAACACTCCCGGCGGCACTAACAACGTTGACGAGATTGCACAGGCAGCCTCCAAAACTTCAAGTCAGTTGAGCACTGGGGTCTCGCTCTTGCTATTTTGCTCAAGCAGAGCCAGGGCCTATTTCAACCTCCATCCTCTACTGTTCCACATTGACATCTAATTATGAGCAGGTTAACCCGCGCCGGGCCGGTGCTCCGCAACTTCCGCGCCGGGCCAGGGGAGGACTAACCCCCTCCCCGTCTAACTCTGCTCCTGGGCCACGTAGCGACATGCGGTAAGCGACATTCGAAAGAGCGTCAAAAATAATGACGGAAACACTGCGGTCATTTTTTGGTCAGATCAAAGATCAGGTCACCAGAGGTCATCAAAGGTCAAATTTAGTCAATTTCAACAATTTCGGAAACTGCCAATGGCTTACTCGGGAACCAATAGAGCTACATCGCCGCGGACAAGCGCATTCGATAGCCCTTTTACAGAAATTTCTGAGTATTGCCCTCAGATTTGGCCTCAGTTCAACGGTTTAACCTCCAGAGAGCAACAACTCTAAAAATAGCAGTCTTCACAAAACATGTTTTTCGGTAATAACTTTTGACTCAAGGGAGACATGACAATACTTTTGTCAGCATCGTGTTCCTCTCGTCGAGACACGTCGAATGAACTATAAGTTGACCTTGAAAGATCATTTTGAAAATTTGACCTCAGGTCAGGTCAAGGTCATGACCTGACCGGAAAGGGCCATGCTGTATATCAGTCTATTCGTATCGTCGAGCTGAACACATCTGAGGTGTTTTCATCGCTCTAGCATGTCTCTATTAAAAGTTATAATAAAAAACTGCTAGAGACCTTTCATGACCTGATATGACCTCAGGGACACAAGCAGGTAATGGTACGACTGCAGAAACTGCTGAATTACGGTGCGCGTGTTATTTCGGGCCGTCGCAAGTTCGATCATATCAGTGACGTGCTGAAAGACCTGGAGTGGCTGACAGCAAAGAATCTGCATCGGTACCATTCGCTGACCCTGTTAAAGCGAATTTTAGCCAATGGCCAGCCGGAGACATTGTACGATAGTCTGGTGACTCGGGGCGATGTTCACGGCCGTGTAACCAGACAGGCGGACCAGCTAGACAGGCCCACGATACACACGGAGTCGGGGAGCAGACGTTTCCTGTACTCAGCTGTCACTGCGTATAACGCGCTACCGCAGGCGCTCCGTGAGATGGGGCCCAGACTCTTCCCACGGAACCTCCGTAAACACCTGCTCGAGCGTCAAAACGGCGGTGAATAGGTGTCGGATTGTATGTAGTTGTGTGCATGAGTGTCTGTTCCCAGTTCCCATCGATTATTTTTGACGGGCGAATCATAATAGCCATGTGTTCATGGATGATTGGCATTGCAAGATGTTAATACATAGTACATACATACATACATACATGCAGGGGTCACGGGTGCTATTTTTCGATTCAGCTTGTTAAGTTTATCTGTAACTCGATGTTAGAGAGTGTTTGGAATGTCATTCGTCCAAAGGAGGCTCTTTTCAATTTTCTCCCATTGACTTATAATGGGGAGGTCTCAAAATTGACCCGACCTTAGGTCACCTAGACCAAAATTCCAAGATATACATTTTGAACCTGCTGTTACTTTTATCAATCGCTGAAAGTTTAAAGGCAATCGTTCAGTTATTGTAGCTATGACGAGGATTCAAAAAAAAATTCTGAGGTGAGGTCACTTGACATGAACTGGTGACCTGACCTTGAGAGCCCTGAGTCTGAAATTTTTACAACAAGTGCAGAAAAGATGCATGAGCAGGTGTGCCAATGAACCGCAGCACGGAGCGCCACCATTTTATAGGTATCTGTGAAACACAGCAGGGGGTTCAAACACCCCCTGGCGCGGCACAGCTAAATAGCAAAGTTATCACAATCACAATCTCGGCCCTGTTTCACCGGTGATAGCAGCACGCCGATTTTACGACTTGTCAAATTGGGTTTCCATGGAGACATCAACAGGCCCATTGCTCCAACACTACCACAAGTGTGACGTCAGCTCGCGCAATTTGATAGCAGCGTGGTAGCAGCAGCCCGTGAAACACCGCCCTCAAAGTTATCCATAGTAGGTGACCATCACAAGAGAAATACAATGCTAAGTTACAATAAGAAAGGCAGATATCTAAAACACAGTCAGTTGACTGTTGAGGGTTTGAGGGTCACAGACTACAATACCTATACCAGTGACCAGAGCCGGGGCGCACTAATCATGATATTAAGCAGAGCTGGGCGCGTTCCTCGATTTTCGGTAGTGCGTTAGCGTTCCTGCGTTCCTCCGGCCGCGGTTAGTGCGTTCCTGGAATAGCGTTCCTCAATTTGTTTCGTTCGGTGCGTTAGCGTTCCTGCGTTCCTGCGTTCCTCCCTCAAAAATACCGCCGAACCACGCGGCGCGGGCCCAACCAAACACGGGGCGAATCGATCACAGAATACCCAGAATGGCGACGTGGGGCCGAAAAGCAACTCGACATCTCTTTTCCGAATCGAATATCTGAAATACGTTTTACCAATATCATCCGTAGGGTTTTCAACAAAAATACGACCTGCCTAAAAACAATAAGTTAAGTTAAAAGATGTATCTTAGTAAAAGTTATCATATTTACTTTGCACATTTAATGCCTGAAACTGAATCGAATAGTAAACATCACCACTAAAAATCTTTACACATTTAATGCCTGAAACCGAATCGAATAGTAAACATCACCACTAAATCTAAGCAAGCCTTCCTCGATTCGACCGACAAGTGGCGCCTCTACCGGCAAACACACGTACTCAAGATTCAAACATTTGACACAGAGGTCATTGGCAGCAATATAATTTTTCGGGTGGTTCCGCAAGAACGCAGGAACGCTTCAAAATTTCGGGTGGTGCGTTCCTCTTACTTGCGTTCCTTTGAAAAACTTTGCGTTCCTGCGTTCTTGCGTTCCTAAAAAGGGCAGTGCGTACGTACGGAAGAACGCAGGAACGCACTAAAGGAACGCACTTGCCCAGCTCTGATATTAAGCCTACACATTTGTCACCAAATGTTGTTTCGAATAAACTAAATGTCGTCTGCGGAATTAATGTAAAAAACGACAAAATGCAGGAGCAAGCAGAATTTCCTGGAGAATCACAAAGCCTAGAGAAGAAAATCGGCCCAGCTTGGCCTTAACCCCAACCATTCCCTGACCCTGACCCACCTTATTGTGATGTCTCTTCTTGTTCTTGCCTCTGTTATTGTTATGCGTATACTAATATTTCTTGAATTTAGGGTAAGAATTACAGAATTTCAATCTTAAGATTTAATTCAGCTCGCATTGGGATGCTTGATCAAAGAAATTTACCCCATCCCACTCATCATCCCGCAGCATCTCACAGTCAAATGTTGATGTTGATGTGGAATGTTTGCTTCCTTTGTACATATTGCCAAATATGGTGTTGCTGTGTCAAAACTGACGCATACGCATTTGAAACCAACTACTAAAACATATTACACCGAAACAATGCTTTTGATTAGAATAATTTCACCTTTTCGAATAATAAACAACTCATATTTAGACTTTTTGTTCAGATGTTTGCATGCAAAATACAAAATTGCTAGATAAGATTAGTATTAAAGGGACCCTCCCACCTTCAAAAAAGTTTATGAATTGGCATGAAAGTGATGTCGCTCGGTTCAGAAAGAGCGAAAACGAACATCTACCAAAATTTCACCGAAAAATATTCACCGGTTTTCAAGATATTAGACTTTTACTTTTGTTTACTTTTTTGGGATCTCCGCTGTTTCTAGCGACTTTATTTTAGAAGTGCGGCGTTTGCGGCAGATGTTGCGCGCAAGTAGCATATACCACCGGCGTATATATCTTTCCCGAGCGAAAAAAACAAACATTCCAGTTTTTTGGCGCTTTTGTTTCAATTGTGGTGGTTCTGTTCGAGGGCCCATACAGATGGTGTTTGCGCAAAATTTGTATCGGAAAATCACTGACTATTTAGTGTCGACAGCTGCATGTTAACTTTTTGAACACGCCTCCATCACTGCTTGTTTATAGGCTGTCTGTGGGTATTGGGCTGTGTTGTGCTGTATATACCGTGTTTTGCTGGGTGATTGTGATAATATTTTGATGATTAACCTCTTTATTCAGCGGTAGAGAATTCTGAAAATTCCAGGGGGTGCTACAACCCCTAATTATCCACCCCTGTTTTTTTATTTTAAGTTCCATCCAGTACCAGTATGAGTGTTTATGGCTTGGAAGGTAGGTGAAACATTTCATTATTGTAATTTTAATCTTTTGAGACCTGAATTTCAACATTCTCTTGAGAGCCTGAGAGCATTCATGCCAAGGTTTCTGAGTCTGTTTCATGATAAAGAGACAATATTGATAATGGAGTCAACTTGTGGGTCAAGTCAGCAGATCTTGATAAATGAGTACGTATGACATCACCTCTACACCTGTCGCCTCCTGTATTGTAGTGATGGCAGGTTCAATGCTGAGTCTCAGAATAATAGCCAGCGAGCGTATACTGTTGTTTTGTATTTCTATGCCCGATCAGCCCTAATATGTAATGTCTTGCATTTCTAAATATTGAACTGTAATGAATGAGACGCTGTAATGAGGCACTGTAATGAAAAGACTGCCTCAGACTGCAAGGTTCTATTTAACCAAATATGACTGCATGTCTGCTACAAAATCAAACACTGACAAACACTGACACTGACATCAGGCACTGACAAAGTGAATGCACAAGAATGCACAAGAATGCCTCACCAAACGTCAAACGATTCAACTGTGGAGGACATTGAAGAGCAAGTGAATGCACAAGAACGATAAGGACTTCTGGACTTCAGAGCAAGAGATACACCCTAAACTCAGGAACGCCGCTGTCACCACATATAGCATACAGCACCCGGTCGTGCCCATCATTAGCCTACAAGCCCCATCTACGAAACCAAGCGCTATATCGTGGGAACCGCACAGGGGTCTCTGTTCACTAGCCGGCGGCCAGGGCACGAGCCGCTGCACCTGGTGGGAAGTCACCCCAGCCAGACCACATTGTCGCACATGCTGCTCCGACAGACAAGTCGCACGCACGAAAGTTCAGTGGCATCGTCTGCTGTGACGTCAGCATTGCGACGCGGAGCCGGCTCTAGCATGGGATGCTATGGGAAAACTGGTGTTTTATTCGGGTCACAATAAAACATGCTATTGATGACTTTATGGGGTGGGTGATGCATAAGTATGATATAAAACACAAACATTTCGTATTTTCACGTTATTTTTAACGGGTAACAGCTACTAAAACATTTCAAAAACGAACTTTGATGTACTTTCTGGTTTAGAACCAAGAAAGAAAATAGTATATTCCAAAATCTAGTGTCGCAATGGTGACGCCAACCTCGACTAACCTGTATGTTTATGGCCTTGACGTCACGCTCCTCGCGCCCAGTGAGAGTCTACTAGTGGCAGAACTAGTGACCCGGACCGCGGTTGGTCTCGATCCGAGTCTGCAGGCTGTGTGGCGCTGCAGCTCGCCGCTGGCCCTCCGCTTGCTGGTAGGGGTGGTCAGCGCGGTCTGCCTTGGGAGGTCGCCCGGCGCTGACTCGGGCGCGGCCTCGGAGGGGACAGCTGGTCCGACGCTCCGGACGCAGCACCGGGATGGTGGTGGCGTAGCGCGCCTTTCCCAGGTGGCGTTGGGCGTACAGCTGGCTCTGCCGAGCTGTGGGCGTCGCGCCTTTCCTCCAGTCGGCGACGAAAGCGTTCAATGCCTTCTGCCAAGACGGTCCCTGGTCCGGGTGCGCAGCGGTGTCCTCCAGGACCGCTGCAGAGACCGCCTCGGAGAAGGCTGCCAGTGACTGGCGCACCTCTTCCAGTGGGTCGGGAGCCGTTACTCTAGACGAGCTGGCCAGTGCCACTGGCGGACGACTGGTGAAATCGTCGCCGCTGTCTGATGCTCCTCCACCATCGGCGGGCTCTGGGGACGGGGCAGCGTCTTCTGCGACGGTGGTTGGGCGCAGCGCAGGTTCCGGACCGGGAGTCCTCAGGTCCGCAAACCAGTCGGGAGACATATCTTGTCGACCTGAAACAAAACCAGTGATTGTAGCTTATTAATGTAGGCATTGCAAGAAACAATAGTTTATCGAAATGGTTCATTTTTGACCGTGCCCTGATTTGATTTAAAAAAAATAGTACCTGCGTCACCGTGTGTTGGTTTGACAAGATGTACATGGTAAAATAACATGGTGTTTATTATTTTTTATCGAGTCATGTTGTGCCAGGTCAGGCTAAGGAGACTGAAAGCCGAAAGGTCACATTGTATGTCATTCGATTGGGATATGTTATCAATTTTTTAGATACACTGGAGATGCCTTTCGCGATAGGTGGGTGACGACACTTTTAACTTAACAAATGACGCCATATTTTAGCGATACTCCAGCCTCGAAGCGTATCGGTGACCTGCAATTCCGTATTTTAGTAGGTAATCTAGGGTTTATATGGATGACAATGATATCCCTTTTAAGACGGAAATCGGGGTTTCAATATGACTCTTTTGCTTACAGTGATGAGATCACGTAACTGGCCAGTTGCCAGACCTCGAACTGACCTCACGAACACAGAAATCAATTTATGCGATCTATTGAGATTACGATTCGCTGTGCCAGGCAATTGACTCACCTGTCGCCACGAAGTACATGAGCTTCCTGTCCTCGACGCTCGCAGTGTCTGCAGTTGCAGAGTTATCGGCCGTGCCGCTGTCGAGGGCCTTGACGGCGTCAAGGTGCTTGCACCTGCCGCCCCCGACATACCCCGGACAGGTGCACATATCCAGGGTGCTGTCCACGGTGTACAGGGTGCTGCCGTCTGTGGACAGCACGCTGTAGATGCCCGGGTTCTCCTGCAGGAATACAAAACGACGATACGCACCAATCAGTCATTGTCCTTTCGTTAGGCAGAGGCAGAGCTGTTTGTGGCGAAAACTCTGTTTGATTTGAATGACTAGCGCAGAATGTAAGGGTGTTGATTTAAGTACCTACTGGTGGAAAAAAACGCCGGGACTGTGAACTGTCACTTGTCCGAGGGAATGAGAAAATTGTGTGTGTGTGTGAGTGTAGAGCTGGCAAAACAGCATCATTTTCATAACCTGTTAAGCGATGGTATTCAATTCCACTTTTGCAGTAGCAGTAAAGCTGTCGTGAGACCGCAGCAGCGCAAGACGACACATGTGAGACCATAACGTAGTCCATCCACGACGATATCTCACCCCGTCGGGAGTGATGCGGTCCCGTGGGACGCTCACAGCGCTGCTTCGGGAGCCTCCCTGACGGGCAGCCGGTGGTCGCCGTCCACTGGCGAAGCTTACGAGCTTTCGCTCGTAGAAGTCGCTCAGTCTGAGGCTGAGTACGTCGTGGAGCTGGAGGACGTCGTAGAGCCGAGTCCTGGGAAAGACACAAAATCACCCTCGCCGTTACGGACTTTTTGCCACCCTCGACGGTGCATACAGGAGGTAGAGAATCCATGACGGGTGTGAATTGATGATAAATAACTCAAGTTTATTGGAAAATGACTGAGTTATATGACTTGAGTGAAAAAGACTTTCAATAAACTTGGTTATGTATCGTCAATTCACATGCAGGACTTTGGACTTGGTACGACCCCCCTCCACACACACACACAGCGCAAAATGACCTCGCAGTTGACGCGCCCTAAAACCCCAAACAACAAATCACAAACGCATGCACGCACGTACAGCATAGCACATCCATATACCCTTCATGACACAGAAGTGATGCACCCCCCCCCCCCCCTTCCCCGGTGAAGACTAGCAATCGATCGGCAGATAGCAAGGTAAAGGCGACAGACGGGACAGGGCAGTCAGCAAACGAGATAAGTAGGTAAATGATTGATAAGTTTAAGTTTGTTTCATACGCTAGCATTGAGCCGAATCAACTATTTTCGAGAGAGGGGAAGGTGATAACTGATAGTGGATAGATGCCTTACTTAATTTGCGCTAGAATGTCTTAAGATTTACCGGTGGAGGACGTTGTCCTTGAGAACCCTCATGGCAGCCTCCACGGTATTATTTGTGTTGTGGCCCCGTGTCGGGAGGCCAGCCCTGAAGCACAGGGCCCACTCCTGCCGCCGATCCAACAGCGCCTGCTGGTAGGCGATGAACCGCGGGTAGAGGGCACCCCACCGACCCTGCAGCGTCTCCATGGCCTCCGCGAGGCCACGCTCCGATGGTGCGTACACCATCTGCTTGGCCAGCCTCATGAGCTCTTGTCGATGCTGTGAACACAGATCAATCTGTTCAGGCAGGCAATTGAATAGTCAGACATTCATGGTGATGGGAGAGGTCGGATTCTGCTTGGCGAAACACAGATAACTCCAAAAACAGATAATCCAGAATTGTGGACCGAAACCGAGCCATGTTAACGGTTCAGGATCCTAACAAAATGTTTTAGCGTCCCCAAAATCTTGCAAGAAGTGCCGCCTACGGCCTCGGCATCGCATCTCTGGTCTAACGTGTGATCCGTAAGTGACCATTGCATTGAACAATAAGTGAGCATTTACCTGCTGCCTGATGCCGTTTTTGTGGCTAAACAGCCACCTCCACGTGGCCTGCAGCACGTGAAACACGCACAGGAGTCTGGTCGCGTCAGGCCAGACCGAGTGCAGTGCGTTCCGCTCGCTAGCGCTGTCGTCAGTCATTAGGATCTGCGGCCCTGCTGAGCCACGGCCACCGAAAGCGTCTGTAAAACGTTATCATCGAAATTACCATGTGAAACCGGTTGCAGGCCTCGATTATATTATTATTGAAAAATGTTACACGTTTGTAAGTGTTGGTTGTAATTGTTGTAACCAATGAAAATAATCGCATTCACAAAAGCTCTCAACCACGTATGTCAGACCCGCGGTAGGTTGAACGACCTGATCAGCGGGCAGACCGGGACCATTGGGGCGACGGTGACAGCGGGACGGATGACCCTTATTGGGTTGTCGAGAAGGACCAGGTAGCCTACCACTCAGTCTGACGGTAGCGGTACATACATAAATGAAGTACGGTTTTATTTGTCATTTTCATTGCGCTACGTTAAAGTCGTTATGTGCCGACGTAACATTATCTAAGGTAAACTTAAGAAGTTACAAGGAGGTGTACTAGAGATAGCTTAGCTCGTGAGTATCCTTTGCAGACTGCGCGACAGGTTGGACGACCTTATCAGCGAGCCGCTGAGGGTCATTGGGGCGACGGTGACAGCGGGACCTGTGACCCTTAGTGGCTTGTCCGGAAGGGCCAGGTAGCGTACCTCACAGTCAGTGTAGACGGGTGAACATACCTTCCGGCAGCATCGACTGAAGCAGCGAGAAGGCGCTCTCCAGCGTGGCCTGCGCCTCGTCGTTTGTGATGACGACGCCGAGGGGTAGGCCGCCTACCACGGTGGATGCCATGAAGAGGAATATGCGGGCCTGTGAGCGGTCGCAGTTCCCACCGGCGTCGACGAATACTGTCTCTCCCGCCTCCGGCAGCTGGTGGACGCGCGCCATCAGCGGCGTGACGATGGCCACGGTGCAGCGGCCGTCTGACACGTCCACCCGCGTGTCCGAGCGGCTCTCGGCCAACTCCAGCAGGCGGTCGACCAGCGCCGTCTTCTTCTGGTCCCCGTACTGCTCGCCGTGGATCTTGTAGTACAGGCTGAAATAAAGTCAAAGAACGCAGTGCCCTTTAATGACCTGAAAACGGAAAGGTCGCACAATGGGCAATTATCACAGTTGACACGACACAACCAGTAATGCGGAGTTGACCGAATTTCAGCGACTCCGGCTCCGGCCCGCTAAAATCGAATCCGACTCCAGCTCCGACTCTGGTCGGTGAAAAATTACTGACTCCGACTCCGGCCAAAACTACCGACTCCGGCCGACTCCGCAGCACTGGACACAACACCTCTAGTCAAATCCATTTGTATGAGACGCTCGCCAGGTCTGACTGGTACGGATCAAGTCAGCTGTGGGAATCGAACCCACTGCCTCACCAAACGATTCAACTGTGGAGGACATTGAAGAGCAAGTTGTGCAATGGACAGTTTGGCGCCTCACAAAGGCACGTAACATTATTATATATGCGATGCTCACCATATCTTACACATACTATTGCTCACCAACTGGATGGTGCTAGTTAGAACTAGTACCGTCCGCCAGTGCTTATAGAAATATATTTTTCAATTACACACACACAAAAAAAAAAAAAACGGAATACATGGGAAACGCAAAGGATTGAAGTCGTGTTCCTATTGAAGTTCGCATTAATCCGGTGATACATAGTGTGAGACGTAGTTTAATCGAACTTGAGCGTAGGAGGACTAGCATTCTGCGTAGTCATATTACTGCATGGTTATCAACTGCTTACTGTGGCAGGCGTATATAGGTATAGGTACTGTCGGATGAGAACTCGGATATGCCGGATGGAAAGATAAGGACACGAACCGGTAGACGTAGGAAAGATCTGGCAGGAGCGAGCGATCGGCAGCCTTGAGAGGATACTCCTCCCCCCACTCCTCCCTGAGCTCCATGTCGAGGGTCTGCAGCGCCGTGCTCGGAGAATGATAGTGCCTGAACAGGCTCTTGAGCTTGGCCTCGGTCGCGTCGCTGACCCTTCGGTGTTTCAGTGCAGCCGGAATGTCCGTGGCGTGGTTGTGATGTCCCAGGCCCCTCACAACCAGGCCGCAGGATGCATGCAGATTATCGCTGGAACAATATTCGCATAATGTCAGAAATCGTTCCCCGCCTTTTCAGGAGACACACAATGCACCCCTCCCTCCCCCGATGTTGCCGGTAACAAATCTGATGTGATGAGAGAAGATTTAAACGCATACAGGATGCGCAATGTGCGTTTCATTGGTCTCTGCCAATTTCTACAAAGGGTATGTTGACGAGGACCTGATTTGTTAAAAAAAAAACAATGCACTCCAAGCATGTAGGCACACCCCTCTGCAGACTGCGCGGTAGGTTGGACGACCTTATCGGCGAGCCGAGCGGGGACATTGGGGTAGCGGTGACAGCTGGGCGGATGACCCTTATGGGCTTGGCGAGAAGGACCACGTATCTGCCACAAGTCTGCAGACGGGTGTACCTGTAATTAAAGATAAATGCCGAATTTAAAAAAAAAGAATTTTGCAAGCATTCCTGAGCATTCCTGCAAGCATGCGTTTTGACACTCCTGCCTGCCTATATTAATGGGTAGGGGATTTTAAAAAATCGAACGACACATCACACATCGGTACTGTTAGGTACCAAAGTCATAACCAACCTGATTCGCGACATAGAGCTCCTAGTCTTGGAGACCACATGCAATCTCCAGGGGCACTGAGTGTCCTTTGCAGACGCCTTCCGACCCCGATCGCGGACGTTGTGATGGCACACATACGTCGCCTGCAAACCAGGAAATGTTACAACAGCAGCCACTTAGACCTCTCCCAAAGAACAGAGCCTGTAACGCAGATCGTCCACGGCACACGCGCACCTTCATGACCTAACGATACAATTTAGCATTGGCGGCTACAACACTGGTGTTCAGCGCAGACCTAACGCCGAGCTGCCGACGCGTCCCCATAGTCCGTCCCATGTTAAATTGCGTTGTTAGACTATTACGCGTCTGCATGGGGTCGTTTCATAAGACCCTTCCGTAACTTACGTCGGGTTATCTAGCCCATTTGTTCAGACATAATATGAATCTAAGGTGTTTCAACATTTTATATCCGTTTTATGCAGTTTTATGCATTCGTTTTTTTCCATTCACAGCAAGAGTGGAAATGCGAAGTAAAAACGCAATAAGTCTATGCAAAAACGTTGAAATCGCGTGCAGAAAAACGGCGTACGTTATTTTTCCGTAGCGTACGCCGTAACGTTTTTTTTTTTATGAAACGATCGCCAGTAGGGTGTCCCAAAAAGCGGCCTCCCATAAGGGTAAGCTTAACCCTCGCCCGCATATGCGATTTCCCACCCTAGAACGCACATGTGGGGGGATGGGGGTGCAACCCCCCCCCGCCGTTTCGCTCCTGATCATGCTAGAGCTTCGGTACAAAACCATACGAATCCTTGGGATGAGACGAATCCAACGAGACATAGTTTTACTTTCCTATGTCACGTCTTGACCTTGCTAGGTCAGGTCAAAGTAAAAATGTTGGTGATTTCGGCGGTATAGGGCTTTACTATGGGATTTCATGTTCTCCGCTATTTTGTGGCAGCGGGCGAACTTAGGGGGAAGGGATGAGTGGGAGAGGGTAGGGGAGGTTTAGGGGGCATCGATTGGGGGCTGGAGGGGGCTAGCAACAGACATGAAAGCGGCGCATCTATGACGGCTATTTACGGTGATCTAGCTTAACCTCGACCTTCATGCTCACTCAAGGCACATTCACTCAAGTCACATCACTCACTCAAGGTGGCATTCTTCCCTTAAGTTTAGTATACAGAACTCTTTAAATTTGGTGCTAAAAATATGTCCCAAGTCTCTCCACTCTCCCCTAATGTGCAGCGATGAAAAACTGTCTGGGGGTGGCATCACCCCCCCCCCTCTCCCCATGTGCTGTAGGAATACATGAATACTTACCCTGTATGCCAGAAACTTGCCGCCCTTAGTGCAAGTATCCACTGACAGAGTCGTTCTTGTCACCTCTTCATACAGCTTCCGGAAGAGCTCAGCGCTGGCCTGTCCAACTGGACACTCAAATCCAATTGCCGTCCCTTTCTCCAGTTCCTGTAAACAAATTGATTATTGAAACGATGTCTCCTAGGTCAACAAAGTAAAAATGTTTCGATATTTTAGCGATATCGACATTCCTTCGCAAATCTCGCCATAGCACCGTAGCAATGAGGGCTAGAGTCGCGGAAAACCATTCAACAGTTCTTTTTAAGCTCTATCGTTTCTTGAGATTTGAGCTCAGGTCGCCGCTTTACCGGTTTAGCATCGAGATCACGTAACGTAACATCCGATTTCTACCAAAATTGATTTTCTGCAATAACTTTTGATGCAGAAACTACAAAGAAATTGTTCACACACCCTGGTTCTGAGATCGTCAATTCGCGTCAAAGGCAGAAAACAGTTGACAATTGCTATCGATCAAAGTTGGGGCTAATCCTAATCACGCTATTGGTAAGACTGACCCCCCCCCCCCCCGGAGAGGGTCTAACAAGTGCAATGTTTGCCAGCATGTAAAAGCTGATGTACCCATTTTTTAAATAAAATAAAAAAACGGTGTCCTTCGCACACTGACACTCTCTAGCCTTCGAGCGGTCCTTGCCAAAGACACATGCCATTACACGTAGGAGCTGAATGTGGCCGGTGCCGACGGTCACGAGCCCGATTTGAGTCCCGGGGGCTCAATCCGGGCTCTCGCTGTCGCTACCTGTTTCAGCGTCGTAATCAGGCGCTTTAGACCACTCGGCCATGAGCCATGAGGCCATAGACCAATCGGCCATGAGGGTTAAGTTAAAACTAGGGAGCGGGGGGGGGGCTAGTTGAAAACTTACCTCATGAATTCCGTCAAAAACGTCCAGTCTGGGACATATGATATCCCCTTTCAGTCTCCTCAGTTCTTCCTGAAAAGGAAAGTGATGTTAATATAATGATTATGAGACCTTTTCAGGTGACAAGTGCAAAGCAAAATGACTATATTCTCAGCCTCTAATACATTTAATATGTAAAATCAAATTGATTATTGTTCAGCAAACATTAATCAATCCACAACAAAGTATGTAATGTCGTTCAGAAATATAAGTTTACACACAGCATGATGGCATTATGACTGCGACCTTGTCACCAAACATGAAGACAATTACACCTGCGAGTAATACACAAAATCATTTCTGGTTAAGAAACTTTTCCAGACTCCAGAATTAAGGGACCTAAAGCAGAGACACAGAGAAAGAGAGGGAGTGAGAGCAAACCCATTCAAGAGCCAATCTATCATGTCTTCAAACTTCAATTGAAACAAATTTGCATTCAATGTCCCCTGATAGATGTCATACTTCAAGTTCACATTTTTAGCTGGTTAATAAAACACCATAAAATGAGAATTGTTAGCGATGAGTGTTTTAGGAAAATGGTTAGGAGCATAGCAATATGGAAGGTGATAACTATGCCCCAGTTAACATACACACATGGTAACCGTATGGTGCATATGTGGGCTAACCCACCTTCTCCACATGGTGTCCACCTGGTTTTGTAAGACGTCTATGCATTGGAACCATATGGGCTAGCCCATATGGTTCGGTTCCCATGCATACATGTCTTCCAGACCCATGCTCTTCCCCTGCCCATGTGAGCCCACCTTGCCCTTGTAATGTCCATGTGGTAACCACATGGGCGTATTAACTGGGGTATAGCCTTGTATATTTTGTTTTGCATATTCCTTCTAGATATGTGACGGGAATCCCACAAAGAATGGCTCCCCAGTGCCCAAGGCTCCCAACGTCAAACAACCCTGTAAGTTGTAACCTCTTGACATGCTCAGCTTTGACCAGTGCTGCAAAGTCAGAGTCAGAATCAGCTGAAGTTGGTATGATAATTTTGACTAGAGTATTAGAGATGGACTGCCCTATAAAGCTTCAAAGTTTGTTATTTTTCGAATAACACAATATACCCTACAGTCTACACTTCATTCAAATGGTGCTTATGCTGCTGTTGAATGGAGAAATGTTGAGCATAAAACATGCAAACAGCTCACCTTTTCAAGCATCTTGAATGCATACACCCACAAGGCTGGAGGCTGGAGCACTGGAAATGAAATGGAGTAAGAAATGTTATGGACATTGTTGTTGAGAGCCAAATTTATTCTGAATGATTCTGTTTGCATTATACTATTCACAAAAACACACATTAGTACCTACATCACTGAAAGCTGATTGATCAATGAGCGCATGTTTAGCTTTTGCAGGTTTATAACCGAAACAATTTGACATGAGAAACATAGGCGCACTCAAACATAGGCCTGCTCCTGATGACCAGGCGCAGGCCAGGCATGCAGTGATACCTAACATTCAGGCACAGGCCAGGCATGCATTCAGAAAATTATTGGTACACCTCAATCATGCATTTGCCACGCTTTGCAGTCTCGATCAAGACTCGGCCAGTCTGCAAAAGGTGGCAGGTTTCAGATAGATAGATAGATAGATAGATAGATAGATAGATAGATATATAGATAGAGATAGATAGATAGATGATAGATAGATAGAGATAGAGATAGATAGATAGATAGATAGATAGATAGAGAAGAGAGAGAGAGAGAGAGAGAGAGAGAGAGAGAGAGAGAGAGAGAGAGGAGAGGAGAGGAGAGAGAGAGAAGAGAGAGAGAGAGAGGAGAGAGAGAGAGAGAGAGAGAGAGAGAGAGAGAGAGAGAGAGAGAGAGAGAGATAGAGAGAGAGAGAGAGAAGAGAAGAGAGAGAGAGAGAGAGAGAGAGAGAGAGAGAGAGAGAGGAGAGACAGTACAAAAGATGTTGCGAATTTCAATTCATACCGAAATAACGACCGTTTGACACGTTTGCCTGACAAAGATGACAGATTGAGATGGAATTAACAGCCAGCCTATAATAAAATGTATAAACAAACAATGAGAGAGGCCTGTTCAAAAAGTTAATATGTAGCTGTCTACACTAAATAGTCGGTGATTTTCCGTTGGAAATTTTGCGCAAACACCACCTTCATGGGCCTTCGAACAGAACCACCACAATTGAAACAAAAGCGCCAAAAAACTCGAATGTTTGTTTTTTTCGCTCGGGAAAGATATATACGCATACCACCGCGTGCTACAAAACGTTTTAGTCAAACATTTAAAAATCGTTAGATATTTGCGCTGACGTCACACATTCAGAGGGGTATTCCTAAGCATTAGCCCCTCTGAATCAAAATGCTGCAATTTTGAAATTCAATATTTCCGATTTAAGGCATTTCTCGATGTTGTGAGTGCCGAAACCGGTAATTGTGAGCTAGGGACCCCATTTTGGCTATCTCAACTCAAATCTAATGTTAAGGTGGGAGGGTCCCTTTAATCTAGAAAATATTGTCGTTTTTTAATTTTGCCTCTCATTAACGCATTTTCCGGAATGTGTGTTTCTTGAATGAACAATACAAATTGGTACTGATTTTTCGAAATCTTGATCTTTTGAAGTAAAAGAAAAAATGAAATCCAAAACATTACTTTTTAAGAAGAATTACTGGAAATCTTAAAAAACATTTCTTAAAGGTAGACAGAAATGGCGCATGTAATCCAAACTGAGACGAATCGAAACGCGCAGATGCTTATGTTAGAAATTGTGATAGGGGTGGCGGCGCGGTCTTAGGCCGTTTGGGGTTATGATTTTTTGTAAAACGCTGGATTTCATATCTGCGTTGCATTAGGATTATATAGTCAACTGTTTCATAACATTTCCACGTATAGTGTTCAGCGAAGTACGGGCCTAGAGGGTCGGAAAGTCGGCGCGGTCTGGTACTCTCCGCGCACGCCCATAGTCTAATAACCATGTCTGGGCAAGGAGGTGGAGCGGGTAAGTAGTTGAATAATTAATATTTTTGTAGAAGGCCTTGCACTCCATAACATTTTGTCCAAGGTTTTGCTGAAGGGTTTGTTAAATGCAATAATGTCTCGTAGTTTGAGTTGTGTCGATTCTGGCATCAATGATCATCTGTCGCTGGCTTTGACATCCATGAAGGTCCTATGAGTCATTAAAAGTATATAAATATGTTTATTAATCATGTTCAGTTTAGAAAATGTTAGAAGTCCTGAATTTTCTGAAGTTCACATGCTGAGATGTAGCCTAATACGATGGCTATCATAAACTTTATAATTGTAGTTAAAGTTATGACCTTATATGCATCTGTAAGAGATGGCATTTGGTCGTCACCAGAGCTTATTCCTTATCCTCATTTATTATCCTCATACATGGTCCTTTTATATTGTCATTGGCCAATGGCCAGCAGGGGTGGACAAATGTGCTGAGTTGGGGTAGCACGGGCACAGCAAATCCGCCGCCGCCCTAGCGGTGACCTTGACCTCCGCCGTCTGTTGCTGCTCTAAAGCCAAGCCAGCGTGGAATTGGGAAAGCTCGTGCTACCCCTACTCGGCACAATTATCCACCCCTGATGGCCAGGATGTCACAATGTTTGTGTGCAATCCTTCAAAACCACCATGTTATTTCAGCTTTTTGGGGGTGTCCACAGTTCAGAGGCCCCCATCAGAGAGTTGTATTATACTTTTGATTTAGTACCTATTTTGCAGATTTGGAAAAAAGATGACCAAGGGCTGTATGAATCTTTTATCTCATGTAACTTAATGGGAGTCCTGCCTCTACCTGCTTTACCTATATACACCAGTCATTGTCACCAGTCAAGTCCTTGGCATCATTTTCTTGGCTTTATTTTTTAAGTCTATGCCATAGTAATCTGCAGAATCATAAATTATACATAAAAATTCATGATACTCTACTTTTGTTTGTAATGATAGCACTCATGATAAAGAAATGTAATGCTGACTGCTGAGCTCATTCATGTTGTTCATGCCACCCTCAAGGTACCAGATTCAAAATAACTGTATTTGTATTGTATTTATGTTGGACTTGGTATGTATTTGTAATGCATTATCATTGTGTTATTCTTTATAGTTTATTGCAAAGCAGCTGCAAGTACCTATGCAGGATTTTTATTGGTAGTGTTTATAGTGTGCAATAAATATATGAAAATAATAAATAAAGATAAAATATATTTTAGTTTAATTGTTCATAGTGTGCAAAATATTTGCCCTAAAATTCAAATCAGCTCCATAACATTATTCATCATTACAACAAGTTGACCAACCTGATGCAATCCAGATGTTTCTACTTCTATGAATTCCTATGAGTACACTGTGTTTGTTTGCATTTGGTTTATTCTCCAGTTCCATAATTTGAATAGGAGGAATATAGATTGATGAATTAATTGTAGTTTCTGGTTTTCTTCATTTACCATTTATGTATTCAAATGATGGCAACAAGCCAGCTCTCCTCCCAGAACAATAACTGAAAACTACTTAGTTTGTGGCCCAAGTCCCTTCTATGCAGGTAACAAATTCACTTTAAACTCCAATTCTCTTGATATACAATAATGCATTGTCAATTAAACTTAAAATAAACTAAAAAGCTGCTTTGAGGTCTATGAGTATTATAGCATTGAGTTCTACCAAGCCAGGCCTGGGAGGTGGCCAGTGGTAACATTACAAAGGAGATAAACATGTCAGAAAATATCACATTGCGCTGTCTCATATCGACCTCTCGGCTCTCCCTGTCTCTATGCTCACCGCAGTATCGTTTGACGGCCGCGCCTCTCTGTTCGTCAGTGGTACCGCGGAATTTCCGTCTACTGGAGGAACTGGAAGCCGGTCAGAAGGGCAGCGGCGACGGCACCATCAGCTGGGGACTGGAGGATGATTCAGATATGACCCTGTCCCGCTGGACGGGAATGATTATCGGACCGCCCGGGGTACGTGCAGTACAGGGTAAATGTACAGTTGTATAGTACCATCTAGTGTTGTATCACAATCATTGAACATTACGGGTTTGTACCATTCAATGGCAGATCGTGATCATCGAACCGTTCGGGGTATTAATGTATATGACGTATGTATGTAATGTATGTATTGACATCAAAAGCCTTCCACATATGACGTGGCGATCCTACAGGGTAATGATACGATCGTATCATTTAGCCGTTCCCGGACGGTATCATTACCCCGGACGGTATCATTAGCCGGCTCCGTAGCTCAGTCGGTAGAGCGTTGGACTTTGCGTGGTGAGAGCACGCATTCCCGGTTACAACAGTCCGGGTTCGAAGTGCGACGGGCGCTTGACGTTTATGGGCTCCTGACAGGTATGGTTGCGGTTGATGACAGGCCGTAGCCAGGCGAAGTCAGTGAGGGGACCGGCCGTACGCGGCTATGTGCGCACGTTAAACTTTGGACGCTAAATTCTGCCATATAACTGGAATTGCGCGATCGGAGGGTAGAGGGCGGGGTCAGCGCAACAAGCTTCGCTTAGCGGGGCCTCTGACCTTGTGAATCCTTCCAATCAAAAGGTTCGGACTAAATTTATTTTAAAAAATTAATAGGGTGTCGTTTTCATTGCACCGCGCCGTGTTAACTTTTAACCAGGGCTTAGGTACAGTCCAATCCAATGACTTGTCACGAACATTGGACTGACCGGGATACACACGCACAGGCCGGTACAGTCGCTCAGTTGCTTGGCTGTCAGGACCATCAGGGATCGCGAAAGGACTGTGGTAAATGGGTTCCACGGTCGAAGGACCGCCCGTAGTATTTCAGGGTACACAGTCGAACCTTTTAATAGCGTGTCTGACAATCTCACCAGAGATATGTTGAAAGGTTAGCTTCATATTTCATTAGATGGGATAGCGCAGTGGCAGTATTTGGTCTTATTTTTGCTAGTCTTCTAAGATGACATGACGCTATGTCAACACTTATATGCTGAAGTTCATGTGAGTGTCATCGCACCAGCGCATATAGACTTTGGTACGAGTGGCGCGCCCCAGCCGTCGATGAAATGTCGCGAGTCCCGTGACACTGCCGCTGGTTGGCTGGTTATTCGAGTACCGGAGCCATCAGACTAATTGGTTGGGTCCCGTCCCGGTCGGCGGCGACACGAATTCCCTCGGCTTCTTTGGAGTGGGCTCGTTGTGTGCTTTCTTGGAATCCATCTATTGGAAAGGGATGTGGGGATGAAGCTTTTTCATGCGCTAACACAGTTGTGGTGTTATATAGCTTTACATACATTGGATGCTATTTACTACATGCCTGTTAAATATAATCGCCACAAGCGCTCTATGTGGTGCTAAGACCTATTACATTTTGACTGTTAACGTGAACTGTAAGGCCCATACCGGTGCTGTTTTGCAATGCCACAGGCAGCGAGTCATTTAGTGCCCCGTATGTTTTGTCGACTTTTTGTGATTCCTCTTCAGCGCTTGGGTGAAAAAGTAAGACACCGATGTATTTATAGCAGAATCGGTTGTCTCACGATGTACGATGATGGCCATGAGCTTGAGTACTGTTTTCTTCCCGTAAAAATAATCGTAATAGTCCGGTAGTTTTCATAGTTTTGGATAATATGAAGGTATAATACAAAGTAACTTGGACTAAGGAAATAAATATGGGGCAATTGGAAACTTGTCAGTCAGCTCATACCGCTATAAAATCTTATATATGTTTCATGGTTCAGAGTGGAAGATATAGAGGATTATTCATGGCTCTGAGTGGAAGATAAGGATTTCTTACATATCGAATCGAAAGATCTATTGGCCAAAGACACGATGATAAATCGTAATGAACCATTCGTGGCGAGAATAGTTGATCTTTCCCCGCCGTCGATAGATCACTTGATCTTTTCCCGGCATAGTGGAAGACGTATCTTCCACTCAGAGCCATGCAGAATCCTCTATATCCCACTTTCTGTCAGCTCTTCTTCGACAGGATTGAGAACCTCCCGTGACTTGTGTGCTCGCGGTCACTGACCAAGTTTGAGAACCTCTCTTGAACTGTTTTCTACCCGTTCGCAGACTGAGGTTGAGAACCTCTCGTGACGTTTGCTTGACATTCGCAGATCAAGTTTGAGAACCGCATGTAACTTGTTTGCTGACCGTTCGCTGACTAAGTTTGAGCACCTCTCGTAGCTTGCTTGCTGCCCGCTCGCAGGCGAAGTTTGAGAGCCTCCTGACGTGTGCTGTTCGTTCGCAGACCAAGTTTGAGAACCGTATGTACAGCCTGCGCCTGGAGTGCGGCCCCAAATATCCGGACGAGTGTCCGGCAATACGTTTCATCACGCGAATCAACCTGAGTGGCGTCAATGCCCAGACAGGAGTGGTGAGTGTCGAGGAGTTTACAGAGGAAATGGGGATAGGAGATGGGCAGAAGAGTAAGGATATGCCAGTGTGGATTGGGAAATACGTCAGAGGGGTGGCTGTTCAGCGTCCTGCGTTATTCATACGGCGGAGAAGGTCGGGGAAAATCAGCATAACAGTGGCGGATCCAGAGGGGGGGGGGCATGGGGGCCATGGCCCCATCCCCTTGGGCCTCCCGGGGGGCACCATTACGGTTTTTTACATTCATCACGGAGGTCACCGACGGGAGCTTCAACCCAGAGGTCTCCTAAGAGGGCACCATCCAGAAGGTCTATCGGAATAGGGTACCGTTTTCGGGGTCTCCGGAGGCCCTCGCCTCGGGTAGGGCTATTTCCATCCCGAGGTCCGCGGGGGCACCATCTCGAGTTCTCCGGGGGCACTATCCCGAGTTCTCCGTGGGCACCATTCCAAGGTCGGAGAGGGCACCATCTCGAGGGTACGGGGTCATCATCGCGAGGTCTGGGGGCACCATCCCGAGGTCTGATGGCAGAGGGGGCAACATCCCGAAGTCTCCGGGGGCACCATCCCGAAGTCTGTCTCCGGGGTACCATTCCGAGGTCTCCGGGGGCACCATTTCAAGTTTCCAGGGGCACTA